ATCCAACAAGCGAAGTTCCTGTTGTAGACAGCACGGCGCTGGATAGGGCCGAGATCGTCAGGATCGTGAGCACGGTACACGCGAGCCTCCCGGAGGGAAGGAAGGCCTCGAAGGGCCAGCGTAGGGCGGAGCATGCTCTCCTCGCGAGTGACGGTGGCGGCGGGGGAGGAGCGCCGGGCCGCGGCAACAGCGGCCGCCGCAAGGGTGGCGGCGGCGGCGGCGGCAACCAGAAGGGGAGAGGGGGTGGCGCGAAGGCTGGAGGCGGCAGCGGAGGCGGCGACGACGATGCGGGTAGCATGCGCGGTCGCTGTTTCCGGTGCGGTAAGAAGGGCCACCAGGTGGCCAACTGCCCCGAGAGCAAGCCCGTGCGATGTGAGACATGCAAGGGCTACGGCCACGACAAGAGCAAGTGCCCGACCGAAGAGGCGGTGCTCGTGGTGGAAGTGCCGGCGGGGGGGACGTCTGCGGACGCCACAGCACTGGACGTGGCAGAAGAAGCGCTGGTGGTCGGTGACATCTCAGGCGAGTGTCACAAAGTCGTTGGTCGAGGGGGTGTAGAGCAGGCTAGGCGGGGTAGGTATGTTGCCGATACCGGCGCTACCACCCACATGTTCGCGAACTCAGATGGGTTCGTTCGTTACGAAGAGTGTGACCGACGTGTGCGCGTCGCCGCCGAAGAAACTTTCCCTCTCGTAGGGTATGGCGACGTGGCGGTCACCCTTAGCCGCGCGACGGTACAACCGACCTATTGTTGAAACGGGTTGCACACGTTCCCCGACTAGACTACAGCCTAGTATCTCTCACTTCCCTCTTCAACGACGGGTTCGAAACCAAAACCCTCAACAAACACGAGTTGGAGTTGGAGAGAGGGGGGGGGGAGGTGGTGTACTTCCCCCGATGCGGTAACCTGTACGTCCAAAACGGTTTCCGCACACACACCGAACATGCCTGTGCCGCAATTGCTCCTGGCAACGCGAAAGCGCCCAGCACCCCCGTTGACATCAACGATTTCCACTGCGCGCACGGCCACTCCCACGAGGTGCTGCTGAGGACCACGGCGAAGCAGCAAGGGACGACGCTGGTGGGCGAGCTCCGGGAGTGCCTGGGGTGCTCGACGGCGAAGGGGCTTTCCAAGCCCATCCCCAACAAAACGTCGACCCGAGCAGTTAAGAAACTGCAGCGAGTTTTCGTGGATTTGAGTGGAAAAGCTAGGGTGCAGAGCTTGGGGGGAAAGTGGTACACTCTCATTGTCAAGGATGATTACACAAGGTGGAACCGTGTCTATTTCCTGAAGCACAAATCAGACGCAGCTGAGGCATTCGAGAGATACCTTGCCGAAAACCGGGCAAACGGTGCCCCGTCCGATGTCATGGTCGTGAGATCTGACAACGGAGGAGAGTTCTTTGAGGGAGAGTTCGGCAGGGTGTGCCGGAAGTACTGCATCAAACAGGAGTTCACCCCCGCGCACAGCCCAGAATACAACGGTGTAGCTGAGAGAGCACTGGGTCTGATCAAGGATGCAGCACTAGCCGCCCGTATCCAAGCGCCAACTCGTTACCCCGGAGCGCCGAACTACCCATCCCTTTGGGCCGAGGCCATAGTCTGGTCATGCAACGCCCTGAACTGCACCTCCACCACATCCAACCCAGAGAAGAAGTCGCCGTACGAGATGTGGCACGGGCACCCTCCCCCGCGGGGGGCGACGTACCCGTTCCTCAAACCTGCCGTATACAAGGTCAAGCGCACACACAAGTCCGAGCCAAAAGCCCAAAAGTGTTTTTACCTCGGCCCGGGAATCAACACCAACCGTGATTGCGTGCGCATCCTCAACGAAAAACGCCAAACGATCACAACTCGCAACTTCACCTGGCAACCCGTGCCCGCCGCCGTCGCCGCCCTGCCCCAGTCGCTGCCTC